ATTGTTAATTTGGTTGGGCCTATAAAATTTTTCTTATAGGTCCATTCTAAAACATTGTGTAAAATGGTAACAGAGAGTTACCATAGTGTGATAAGCTGAGTATTAGAGCCTATAAATAAAATATAAAGAAATAAAATTAAATCCGAATTTTTTATTAAATTCTATATAAATTAATCAAATCCTTTTTTTATTTGAAACCTCTCATATTGAGCATCTTTCTCGCTCGTTGCTCGATTTTTCTGACATACATATTCATCATTCCTTTGCTATTTTTGCACATCAATCAACAGACCTCTCACAGGTGCTTTTGCTTTATTATTGGCAGCATTTTTTTTATTTTTTATACCTATGGCCATTCCCCACGAACGCAGAATCTGCCCATCCTGCATGAAACCAATACATTTAACAAATGATGGAGAATTTTTTTTTCATGGACCAATCTCTAACAGGTGTCCGCATTCAAAACACACGCCTCTTTCTCAGATCACTTACTCGCTTCCCCCCCCTCTCATAGATTATCCCTTAAACGAAGTAATTGGTGCCTCATTCTCAGATATTTTTCTTAACTCCACAAAACCAAGTATCATAACGAGAATACCCAAAGGAGCGAGAATACAAGTAGCTAAATCACTCAGCAACTGCATATCTTCTCTTTTGCAAAATTTTAACAAAGAAGAAGAATGGTTAAAATTTTTAAACTTTAAGTACAATACTTTCAAAATACCTGACATATCACTCCAAAAATCATTAACTCAACAAATAAAAGATGCCTGTTTAAACATCAACACTCATCTTCATGAGTCCCAAATCTTCAGACATCCCATAAACAAAAAAATAATAACCCCACTTCAACAAAAAGCCTCATTGATTTCGAAGAAAATTGACAGTCTTAATATCAATGGGGCCCTCAAACTCATTTCAACCAATGACACTCTGGCGGAATCCAATTTAGAAACCTTAATTAAGCTTCGATCAAAGCATCCCACAACAACATTTATGCCAATATTGCCCCAACCCTTCTCCCATTGTGCAGCAGATTTCACACAGGAAGAAGTAAGGAAATCAATCCTATCTTTTCATCGGGATTCGGCTCATGGTCTAGATGGGATTAGACCAATTTTTTTACAGGACATTACCTCTCCTGTGATCTGTACACAGGTTTCAATTCTCACTAAAATCACAAACTTAGTCAACAAAATCCTAAATGGAGACGTACCCAGCTTTATTACCCCCTTACTATTCGGTGCCAGACTCATCGCACTCCAAAAACCAAACAAGGACATTCGGCCCATCGCCATTGGTTCAACTTACCGTAGATTGGTCGCTAAATTAATTGCATCTAGAATCAAACACGATGCCGCACACATTCTAAGCCCCTATCAACTTGGTGTAGGGATACCTGGTGGGTGTAAAGCCGCTGTGCACTTAACAAGAATTCACCTTGAAAATAACCCAAAAAACGAATCCCTAGTAAAAATTGACTTCTCTAACGCCTACAACACTCTTTCGCGCAACACGTTCCTACATTCAACTTGCTTCCATTTCCCCGCTTATACCAAATTTCTTTTCTATTGCTACCAATCACCAACAATCTTACAATTCAACAAAGAAAAGATACTTTCTGTCGAGGGTATCCAAAAAGGTGACCCTCTTGGATCCATTCTCTTTAGTCTTGGAATCAATGACATGATAAAATCAATAAACTCTTCATGTACTCTATCGCTCCACGCTTGGTATATTGATGATGGAATCTTGAGTGGTCCCAGTTGTGAAATTGCCAAAGCAGTCACCATAATTAAAGAAATGGGCACAGCCATTGGACTTTCGCTTAACCAGAGCAAATCTGAATTCTCACTTTTAAATTCTAATGCTCCCAACACTCACGATTTCAAATTCACATCAAGCGTTGAATTAACACATCTAGGATCGCCTGTTGGAGGACACGAGGCAATAAGCACCTTTCTTCATTCCACACTTGACATACTCCTTAAACTGGAGGACATCTTTACACTTCTTCCATCACACAAGTCCTTTTTTTTGCTAAAAAATTTCTTTTTTATACCAAGGATTCTTTACGCACTTCGGTCAACACCAATTTTTAAATATCCTATTCCTCTCCAAACTTACGAAAAAGGAATAAAGGACTTAACCGAAAAAATAGTAAATATCAGATTCAACGAAACCGCTTGGGCCCAAGCAACTCTTCCAACCAAATTTGGTGGTCTCGGCATCAGATCTCCACTTGACTCAGCAACAACTACTTTCATATCGAGTAGTCTCTTGACAAAGCCAATAACCACCGCCCATAACTCTAAAGAAGACCTTTCCTTAATCGTGGCTAAGGATATTGGGAAAACAAAGATCAATGCTGATTCTCATCCCCCCACAACCCATAAACAGAAAGACTGGGATGCACCAGTGGTTGCTCGCTGCGTTGAAACTCTCTTATCTAGCATGCAATCTACCGACCGCACCCTATTCTCTTCCTTGCTCAATGGTACGGGACATGAGTTTCTTGAGGCCATCCCATCTACCAATCTTCAGCTTCAACTATCCAACAATGAATTTACCCATGCCATCGGCATTCGTCTAAATTGTTCCATCACTCACCCCCACATCTGCTCAGGGTGCAACTCGCCAGTTGACTCGAAGGGTAGACATAGTTTACATTGTCGCTCCTGCAATGGACGATTCATCAGACACAAGCAATGTAATACAATCATCCAACATGCTCTGAAATCCGCCCAAATTCCTTCCACGTTAGAACCACAGGGTCTTTTTAGATCTGACGGTAAACGTCCTGATGGGATCTCTCAAATCCCATGGAGGAGAGGCCAACTTTTGGTATGGGACTATTCCTGTATTGACCCCTTGGCCCCATCCAACCACGCCATCAACATCCTTGACCAGAAGGAACAACTTAAAATTGACCAGAAGGAACAACTTAAAATTTCTAAATACACAGAAATAATAAACGATCATTGCTTCATCCCAATCATATCAACCACTCTTGGCACCTTCGGCAAACTCGCCTTAGCATTTTTCAAAAACTTAGGATCACAAATCAGCAAACTCTCAGAAGAACCTCGAGAGGGTTTTTTTCTTCGTCAACGATTATCCATAGCGATTCACAAAGCTAATTATATCAGTTTCAATGGTAGCCTTCTAGCCAAAGAGCTATCATAGACAACGCTTACGTTCCTTTTTCATTTTTGTTTCCCTGCGTCACACCATCTCCGTTCTTTTTTTTAGATAGTATTATTATATATTTTTCAAACATTTTTAAATATATTAAAATTTATTATAATGAAAATTTAAATTATTATATCTTATATTGATAATAAATTATAAACTATTATAAATTAACATAAAAGGAAAAAGTAACAAAAAATAAAAATAAAAAGATTAAAAATTAATAAATTTATAAGCGAAAAATAAAAATTGAACAACTCCAATTGTTAAATTCTTTGAAAAATATACAATTATCACACGTTTTCATTTCATTTGCATAGTCTAAGACTTAAATAATAAAAACAATTTTAATAAAACATTATTTTTGTTTGAATATTATCACAATTTGAATAATAGATCCTTGTGCAACAGAATATTACAATTAGTTTCATGCCCTTTTGTCAATGTAAGTGGCTAAGAATTATATTGCCTTATGTGGTTTTTAAAAACCATTATCAATTGAGGCATATGTATGAATTAATTAACCTTTTTTATCACTTGTAATTCTTAAGACGCAAAATTTTTTTATATCAGCGAAAATATTTTATACTGTAATAAATAGATTTTGTATTATAATATTATATACTATAATAAATAGATTTTGTATTAAAAAATATTATAGAAATGTCTTTATTGTTGTAATTATTTATATGCCAGTTTATTTTGCATGCATAATATGATAAATGACAAAAATGAAATTCAGAATAACTGTTCCAATTTAGCAAATCTTAAAATTGTATTATATTATAAAATCAGGCCAAAGGGCAAAAGCGGGCCAAAGGCCCGAAAATTAGGGGGGAATAGGGGGCGAAGCCTGCCAATAAATTTTAGCTGAACCCACTGAGAATGTAAAGGCTAGCGACGCCCCTGTACTACATTGACTTTTATGTGCAGTTAAGGGGGTTGGACAAATTCCAAGACATAGGATTGTCAGCTGAAAAAACACGTAACGATACCGTTTCTTGTTGTAACGGGATATTAATATTAGCACACATGATTAATCTATAAATATATAAAAGGATGGGATTTTTTGCGGATAAGCACTTGATTTACTTTACAGTTGTTTATGTTAATTTTAATTATAAATGATAATTATATTCGCTTTATTAATTTAGTTGACTATTACATAGTACGCAACGTAATACCTAATAAAATAAAAGATTATATATTGACATAATCTTTCACTGTGTGCATTTAATTTTAGATTATTTACCTAACCATATACTTAAAATAAAGGTAGATTCTATATTGACCTATGTAACCTTATTTATTTAAATCTACTTATTAAGTTCACAATTTGGGTAAATTTTAAAAAATTACCCGAAGATTTTAGCCAAAATATATTAGGTAAACCTTGATTTTGATAGAAGTCTAAACCTTTTAGTCATCTATGAGCAAAATCTCAAGCTTACAAAATATTATTTCGGCTAAGATTTTAAGGCCACTTTAATAAACGACTCAAATCGGACTTTTAACAACACTACTAATACTTGAACTAAGCTTTTTCTCCTAACTCACTAGCCTTTGCTAGGAGCGTCCCTATTTCCCTTTCCGTCCATACATTGTTTATATATATTAATAACACTTTGAATTCTCTTATATTTGCTTGTATGCATCAATAAAAATGAGATGTGAACATAACACTACCCCATAAAATCGAATAGATTAGGAAAGACTTTTATTTTTTTATCTGTCAATAACTCAGCAAAACTTTAATCAGTAACATATTTTATTCAAGGAATTTAAAATAAATCACGTGAGCAATATTTCCGCCATAATTAAATCTTCTTTTAATAAATATAGCTGCCAAAATCGTATAATTGATAAGCAACTAAACAGGATGATTCCCAGAATATCTCTTCAATAAATATATATATTTAATTAGCACGTACATAATGACAGCATTTGAGAGTTCATTTGGGGTTGGTATTGCTAATAGATTTATGTTATTGGAAGAAGAAAGCGATGAGCAATTGGATGAGATTCAAAATGATGGAGATACTGAAATAGTTAAAAACAGAAAACCTATAGTTAGCAAATCTGGTTTTAAAGAAGATAATATTCCTATATCAAATTTAAATCTTGAAAATAAGGTTAAACAAAATATTAGTGATAAAACAACAATTAGAAAAGATGGTAAGAATTTTATCTTGATTAATATATAATGCTATTATAGATATTAAGAGATATAAACCTAATGAGAGGATTCAAGAACAAAATGATAGACAAAAGAATATGTCAAGTATCAATGGAGAAAAGTTTGTATATTTTTAAATATTAAATAATTTAATATTGTAAAGGCCTCCACAAAGTTTTGAGGATGCTAAAAGTCTAGGAATGGGCAGAGGAAGGCCTGTTAGTAATATGCGTGGAGGTCTAGGTCGTGATGTTAGGGCAAACAAACGAGAGTTTGATCGTCATAGTGGAAGTGATAAAACGTAAAAAATAATTATTCATTGTAACTTTATTGACTTATATTTAGTGGTGTTAAACCGGTTGATAAAAAGGATGGGGCAGGGAGCCACAACTGGGGTTCCATTCAAGATACTTGGGGGTAAAATACCTAAATATTTGACTAATTTTAAAATTTATTTATTATAGGAATTCAAATGATTTTACTGAATCGCCAAATAATACAATTGATAAAACTGAAATAGAGGATCCATGGAGCAAGTATTCTCTATTTTAAAATAATTTATATATTATGTTTTTAGACCAGAGGAAAATCCAGATAAAATAAATTTCGGAATTGATGAAGTTCATTTATCTAAATTTGATGATACACAAGATTATATTAATAAATCTATACACGAGCCTGATGCAGAGGATACTCCTGAGGCTATACAGGAACCTGAGGTTATTCATATGACACTTGATGAATGGAAAGCTTTACAAGAGAAGGAAATTGTCAAACCTGAATATAAGTTAAGACAACCAGGAGAAGGGGAAGATAAATCGAAATGGAAAGGCACTTATGTTTACAAACCAGCTGAAAATATTCAATTGAATGAAATTGATGAAGAGGTAATAGTTTAATTAATATAATAATTTGTTTCCATATCTATAATAAATATACTCTTTGATCAGAAATAATAAACATGGTATGGAAAGCAACCCTGAACCATAATTATATATTTGCATTTTGGGCTGGTTTATATTTTAAAATCTGGATTTTATTTATTTACAATAGAACAAAGCTCATCATTCAAACAATTCAACTAAAGTTGGTAAAAAACTACTGGATATCAATATAAAGTATACCTCACATTATAACTCTAGCAGAGGTGGTAACTTTGGGGCCAACAGACCTCCATTTCAAAGACCCATGAATCAACAAAATGGCCCTGCTACAAATTCTTCTGAAGCAGGAGGATCTGGATTTAAAAGGGGAGGGGGAGCACCGTTCAACAGAGGAGGTAGTAGAGGCAGGGGTGGTAATAGAGGTGGTTTTGATAGTGGAAATAGAGGTGGTTTTGATAATGGAAATAGGGGTGGTTTTGATAATGGAAATAGAGGTGGTTTTGATAATGGAAATAGAGGTGGTTTTGATAATGGAAATAGAGGTGGTTTTAATAGTGGAAATAGAGGTGGTTTTAATAGACCCTCTGGGCCAAATAATTTTGGTAGAAGAAATGATTTTCCTAGAAATAATCCAGATGGTAGTAGAAATGAGCCCCTCTTCAATGATGAAAGTGATTTCCCTTCTCTTCGGACTGTAACTGCTAAATAAGTCAACTAATTGTATTTTATTGGATTTGTTATTACCTTTTTACCACAGATCTTAATTTGTATATCATGGCCCCATCATTACTGTATTAATATATCCTTTGTGTTATACTTTATAAATTGCCATTTGAGTTATATTAAACCTAATTTCTATTTTGCCATAGATTTTTTATAAAAATTATGTGATCCATTTTTACCATATAAAATGAAAAACTTATAAATGTCACCTATGTCATTGGGAATATCCATCCTCTATTGAAATGTATATTTGTCATTCATTATTATATTTTGATAGTTTAAAAAACAGATACACAAAGTTACCATTTACAATATTATTTTTTATATTAAACAATTTGCAATATATACATTTATATATTTGTCTTATGTTACAAATGAAAATATTAGTTAAAATTTAGATTATATTCTATTATATTTTGTAAATATTGTAAAACTCTACTTTATACCCAACAAGAACCTATCAAAATTATTAATTCTGTCAATAGGTTTATATTATATAAATTTGAGAATAATAAAATATATTTTTATTCAATTAAATCTTGATTTGTTTTTGTAATCATATAAAATCTATTCGTTTTTTTCTATATTCGATTCCATTTATTACAAATATGGATAATGTTTATTATGTTTTATATTTTTCACCTAGAAAAAAATAAAGATTGAGACAAATTTTATCTTTTTACAAATGGTGCCAATTTACAAAAAACTATGAATATTTTAATCAAATTAACTTCTTGGATTACATTTTTTAATTAAGAACATTTTTGCTGAGGTGTGTTCCATTTTTATAGCATTGCATAAAAAATAATTCTGATTTATATTAAATGGCTGGCCATAGATTTTAAAATTTTAGTAAGATATACCAGAAATATCAAGTTAGATATTGTGACTCAAAAATAAAATACAGATATCAATATATATATACTTGATAAAATCAATGGGCTTTTTGGAAAATATGGAGTTGGTAAAACTCATCATATATATTTTCATTGGGTTTCTTGGTTTTATTTTTCTTAGAGATTGGGGTGGGCTGGGCTGTACAATAACTATTACGGGTCACTCTTGTTCAAAATATTTTAAGGGTGGATGGAAGTTTTGGAAATATTTTTAAAGATAATTAGACAAATATATATCATTTTTTTATAAAAATTATTACAAGCCAAACAACTTATACAACATAATTTGCAGAGACCACCAGAACCGTTATAACGGTTCAGTATGCAAAAAATTTTAATGGTTACATTTTGGTTCTTAAGAAAAACTTACAAAGGTTTGGTCTGGTTCAGCTCATTATAAAGGTTCATTACGGTTATAGTGCACACAAATTGAGCGTTGCAAACGCAACATTTTAAATAAGTTCTTAAAATAAAGGATTTGTCTTTTGAAAATTATATTATCGTCTGCGTTCTTATTTCTTTAATTTCTAAATATTCCTTTTTAGGATATAAGTAAGATATTTATATTACATTTTATATAATATTACACAACGAATAATACTAAAAAGTAGTGAAAAAGCAAACCTATTTGCGTTTTTTAAAATGGTTGCTAACGCCAAACTGTAATTTTACCAATTTGCACGAGGTCATTTGAAATGCATTATTTGTGTTTGAAACGCTCAATTTGTGTGCACTATTAGGAATTTTTTTTACAATAACCTAACTCTAGGATATTTTTAATTGGATGAATATATTAAAAAAATAGGTATGTAAGATTAAAGATTAGCTAGATATAGGTTAGTCTTTAATAAAATTTTATTAATAATTCGTCAAATCTGGCAGGTCATTTAATTCAAAATTGATTCCTTGAGTTGGACCATAATCATTGATTTTATATAATAATTTTTTATTTGATTTCATTAAACATTTCTTTAATCTGTTGTGCACATTAGATATTAGCTGAACTATTTGATCCCATATTTCAAGTTTGTTTCAGAATATTTAAATTCGAATTTTACAACATCATTGCAATTTATAATTAGACAAAAAACTTATAAAGCATGGAAATGCAGAGAGAGATTCAAGTTGAAGATAATGGGCTAACATCCAATTTGTGAATAGCTAAATTAGGAAACAAATATTTCTAAGCAACGACTATAATAACTGGCACTCTAGAGCAAGAAGCCGCATTTTACTCAATCAACATACTATGCCAGAACAGGGTGTAATAACCCTAATATAGCTAGGAAATGTGTACTGCAACCAGTGCAGTGAAATGATCTTTTCCATCGCTGGATTAATGTAGGCCAAGCCTCATTATGCCCCACCATTTTACAAAATATTTACTTGACAATTATAATTTATATTTTGTTTATAAATTTGGTTTAAAAATCCATAGAATATTACAGATCACACTGAGGAAAAAGGATTTCAGAAAATAAGAAATTAGGAATGGGATAGAAGAATTTAAGAACTAAACTATATTAACATGGAATTAATAAAAGGCAATTTTTAAAATATGGTCCCTCCACCGCCAATTCATTAGGCGGTGGCTAATTCGACGCCGTTGAACATCGATAAAAATTTTAGAAAAAGCAGCCGCTACCTCTTGAGATTTGATGCACATTATCTTACCGCATTAAAAAGAATTTTGATATAAGATGCTGATTTGTAATTTTATCTATGGAAAAATAACTTAAAATAGTTTTCATTTAAAAAACATTAAAGATGGAAGATAAAAAGTAAAATTGGAATATAATATAATATACTAATGTAGAAAAGCCTATGATCATGAATCTTATGAAGAAGTTGCAAACTTATCTGGATGAACAAATTTTTAAATATATAATATAATATAATTATAACCATTTGTTATATTAAACATTATCTGTTTATTAAAATTTTTTACAACCTGTATAAAATGCTTTAAAAATTTTATCGTCTCATAGAGCATTTTATGCCTTATATAAAGCCAATGCTATATAATAGTTATGAAATTTACTATAATATTATACACATCAAAAAAAATATGCATCAATCTCAATTTAATACAATATCTATAAAATAATATCCAATTAGGGTTGTAAGTGATGTAAACGTTGCTTCAATAACGAATCGCGGTATTTGTTAAGTTTAAAAAATAGGAACGCGTTACTCGCATTTCAAACCTCAAAAAATATAAAATGTATTTTAAAAAAAATTCTTTTTATTTATTATTCCCCATAGATAACAAAAATAATACATTATAGGATAAGTTTATTCTGTAATAATTTTATTTATTTTTAACAATTTTCAAAATTTTGATCAACAAACAAGAGCGCCTTGTGCTCAACACAGCTCTCACGTCGCAGCTAAACGCCTTCAACTGGCGGAGAGAATTGTGTAGGTTTTAATTAGAAGAATTTATTACAAATATTTAAAGAATGGTCTCTATTTTCAAAAATTCTTTAGATAATCTTAAGAAGAATTTTCATTCAGATCTTCATCAATTTTTTTCTTGTACGTGATACGTGATATATAGCGCATCGCCCTCTAACATTGAATACACAACAGAGCTACGCTAGGTTTTCCTCATTTCCATCTAATTGGAACAATTTAATTTGGGTATAAAAGTAAAAATATGAGGAGCCCTCCACACGTTTGTGGGCAAGCCGCACGTACTTGTAGGCACAACATTTCGAAAAATGTTGCTTAAACCTCTATAGGCTTTAATTTAAAAGGAGTGGGACAATGAAAAAGTCTATACCCGAGAACTACAGTATAATTTAATTACTTTAAAGGTGGGTGATGGCTGATTTTAAGCTTAATTTCTTTAGTGTAAGTTATAATTATTATCAATATTGAGATATAATGTTCATAGAATCTGTAAATAAATATGATTAAAATAAATAATATTTACTGTTCTATCACTTCAAGTTTCACCGGAAGTGCTTTTTCGTAGTATTACTGATCATATGTCTAAGTCATATTGTTGCCTTCATATGTTTTTTAGATTTGAATTGCTGCACAAGAAGGTTGAAATATTTGAATTATTGCACAATCTATACTTAAATTAATGCCCTTAATTTCCTTTATTAGTGTAAAAATAATGTTTCATACTGAGGTCAGAGCAGAGTTAAATCACCTTCATCTGAAAAAATAACTACTATTGACATATTCTTTTTAAAATAAATTATAATATTATAAAATATAAATTAACATACCCTGATAAATTCATTAATATTTAGATTAACAATCTTGACTGTATAAAATTTAACAGTAAAAAATTTAAAAAATTAAAATAAAAATTATAAATTAAAAACTAGGCTTAATTATTAAATAATTTATAAAATTCTAAATAATATAATAAAATATATTTTTTAAGAAAATTTAAACTGTGATGTTTGGGGACCAGAAGTGGCGATTTATTGGTTGAATTGCATTATTCTTTAAAAGGATCAACATTTAGCACGCAAGGGTTTAGATGAGAAATAATCATGATAATTGAAATAAGTCTCTTTTTATTCTTAAACTAGTAATAAATATATGAGAAATATTTCATGTGTATTATAATCCTTTTACAACTCATTTATATAAGATCAAACTTAAATATATTATATGACAATAATATTACAGTAACGTTGTGCGTTACCATTAGTCAGACAAAAACCTTTATTCGTTACCTTTTGAAAATGTAACGACTTTACTTTCATCGACGCTTCTTTACAGCACTAATTTTATTTGTATATTTAATTGTGGCTTCCATAAGGATTGGATTTGACTATGTTTTGGATTACCTCGAAATAGATAACCAAATATCGTTTCAACGTAATTTTCTTAATGATATAATTATAATTGTCGATATAAAGCAGCACCCAAGTCTTTATGATATTTTTACTAGGGCTAACAATTGTATCCATGAGCTTTGACTAAGCTACTAAAATGGGTTTCAAATTTTTTGACTCATAAGGTTATTAAACCTATTCTTATCTAATAAGAATGCAATAGATCATTCGAAGTGAATTTCGCTGCGAATATTTTTGTTTTTGCCAGTGTTAATGTATCCTATTGCGTAATTTAGTTTTTTCCCTCAGGGTTGGGACATCTTTTGACAAAAATTCTAAGGTAATTATTATAGGTTAAAAAATAAATGGGGAGTGATATATCAACAAGACTTACTAACTCCACTAGTCAAATTTCCAAATATCATCTTGTATATAATAGCATTAGAAGAGATTTATTATAACAAACTAGATTTTCTGACCATGTCAAATTTATAATCCCAAATTAACCACGATGTTTACTTTAAATTTAATTATATTTTTTTTATTTTCAAAAAATGAAAATAATTTTACCTTCTGGCTGAGATTAATTTAAATAATTTATAATATATAAAGTCAATTATATATTTATAATTCAAATCGAGCACTAAAAAAAATTTATTTATTCGATTTTATTAAAATATTCGTTCAAAATCAACCTGTTTTTTTGTATTTAAACCACATTTATTTATTCATTTTTTAAGGAATTAATAATTCATTTTTTCCATTTGTAAAAAATTTATTTTTCGAATTAGGAATTAAAGGTTGATATGGACGATAAAAATCTCCTTGACCCCATGTATCACGCCGTAAGTGAATGGATTCAAATGACGGGCTTTTTCAAAAAATTAAAATTTTAAGAAAACCTGATGATAATCTTTAAAAATTTCACAATTATGACCATATTTTATTTTTCCAAATAAAAAAGAAGCTC